CAAAAAAAAGGAAAAAAAAGAGAAAGTGGGGAGTTTAGTAGCTTTCATGTGAGTCAATATGATGTGGCTGCCAGAAAAGGAAATACAACCTTGTATTATGGAATAGAGCCCCAGGCCTGGAGTCAGGAAGACCTGAGGCCAAATTCAGCCTTAGATACTAAATGGCTGTGTGACCCTGGGCAGGTCACTTAACCTCTGCTTGCCCTATTTTACTCATCTATAAAATGGGGATGATAATACTACCTAAATGCAAGGGCTATTGTGAGGATTAAATGAGATGGCATTTGTAAAACACTTAACACAATATCTGACATATAGTAGATGCTTTACAAACATTAGCTATTATTTTTATTATCATTATTATTACCTTATTCTTCACTAATTGAAGCTGAGAAACTAGAACATGCCCTGACCAGATCACAACTGGAATATTGTGTTCAGTCCTGAGTGTTACATTTTAGAAGGGACCTTGACAAGCTAGAGTACATCTGCAGGAAAGTGGTCCATATGTTGAGGAATCCTGAAACTATGTAACATGAGAACCAGTTGAGGGAGATTGGAATATTGAACCTAGGTAAGAGAAAATTTGGGCAGAGTTTGGTCACTATTTTTTATGTTTGAAGGATGATAATGTTTATATGAGCTCAGACTTATTCTGCTCATTCCTACAGGGCAGAACTAGGTAAAGAATTACTTCATATACTGAGGTCCAAACTACTAGAGTTACTTAACAGTGGAATTGACGGCTTTATCGACCTGTGAGCTCCTCATCACTGCAGGTACCCAAGCAGAGGCCAAAGGAAGAGCTAAAGGAAAAAACAAACTCTAAGATCTCTTCTAACTCTAGGATTCCATAAATCTCTGCTGTCATGTACATAGTGCTATCGTAGAATTTAGTGCTGGAAGGGAAAGAAGAGGTCATTTGATCCAATAACTTAATTTTGCAGGTGAACAAGGTGAAACCCAGGTTAAGTTGCTTTTCTCAAGGTCACAGGAGTAGCAAGTAACAGAGCTGGGACTGGAAGCACAGTCTTGCTCTTTCAAATCTAGCACTCTGTTAATCCAGTTGGATACATGTATCTATTAAGGACCTCCTATGTGCAAAGGCTCATGACCACAAAGGAATAAAACAGCCCCTTGCCTTCAGGTGCTCACATTCCACTCACTTGCTGGTCTGGCTCCCTGGACATAATTAATGAGAATAATTAACCAGAAAGGACCAATAAGAAACTGATTTCAACACATTAGTATGGAGAGCAAGTCGGCAACAAAGAAGCCCCAGAGGGGTGTGAATAACCAACTGTTTCTGTCTGTGATCATTTCAGGAAAATCCAGAAGACAAATTTCCAAAGCTATGACCCAGAAGATACAAAGGAATATTGGCTACTCCCAATCAGCACATTCCTTAAACTTTGAGTACTTCCAGTGCCTTCAGGATCAAACAAGTTTCTCCAAAGATACAGAACCACATTTGGGTAAATTTCAGGAAGTGAGGTCCTAGGATTCTTTGCCAGGCAGAGAGAGAGTTCACTCTAGATGGAGGCTCCCTTAAAAGGAAGACCTCAAATTTATAGCTAGAATTTTAAGTAAGCTTGCAAAGTCCTGTCTTCCTGACAACTTTGTGAAGTAGTAGTAGAAGCCTTTCCCATATTTAGATGGGGAAACGGATTCTCAAACAGGTGAAGCAATTTGCCCAAGATCACACAGCTAATGATTATTGGAACGAGGATTCAAACCTAGGCCTTTGCTGACTTTGAATCTGGTAGTTTTTCTAGAACGCTCAAAGAGAACCAGAATCCAGTCCCCTGACCACAGCCCTCCAGATGTCCAAGAATATCCGAGGCCATGAGGGACTCCTCAGACCCTCCTTAGGCTGGACTCATTACCCACAAGGAAGTCTGCCAACCCTGAAACCACCCTGGGATCTGAAGATAATGGCTGGGGCGCCCAATGGTCTAGCAGGGCTGATTAATGTGAGTGCTAGGGACATAATATATTCACTTGGCCTCTGTTACACTGCAATACACCATTTCTTCCCTCTTTTGCCCAACCCCTTCCAAAAAAATAGAAAACCAAAAACCTCCACCCCCCCCAAAAGAAGCCAGACTGTTATATAGCACTAGCCAGAGTAATTCTTTGTTGCCTGACAAAATCAATCGATCAATCGATCAACATTTGTCAAGTGCCTACTGTGTGCCAGGCCCTGGGCTAAGCTATACTTTATGATACTGCTTTTGTGAGACTACTTTGCCACGGGCTAGAAGAGGAGGCATAACATGGGGGACAGGGTGATAAACTTGGAAGGTTGGAAGACATAAGTTCCAATATTAAATTTGACACATACCAGTTGTGGGACCCTAGGCAAGTCACTTCTCCCAGGATTTCAGTTTCCTTATCTGTTAAATGAGCATAAAACCAATAGTGCGTCTCAGAACACCCAAACTCAAAGAATCCACCAGCCTCAACTTCCTCATCAGCAGAGACTACAGGTGTGTAATCCCATGCCTGGCCAGACTTTGTTCTTGAAGAGTAGATTAGCTAGTGATCATATAGACAAGTAACACGTTTGCAAGGAAGTATGATCACTTCAGTGATGAAGTTCTAGCAGAGGGCTCTGAGAAATTTGAGTTGAGAGAGAACACTTTCCCCCACTGTGGTCAGGGAAAGCCTCATGGAAGAACTGGTAACTGAACTGAGCCTTCAAAGGAAGACCTAGAACAAGGGACAATTCTCCAACTGGCCTGTTTTCAAGAATTTTGTTTTTGGAGTGTTCAAAGGAAGCATTACTGACTTGAGCAGCTTACGTGGAGAGCATATGAACAGCTAGGTTTTAGAGATGATATTTGTGAATAGAATTCCAGTCTCTGAAGGAAACAGAAGAACATAAGCAGTTATAGAAAATATTTCATCCAATACACACAGGCTTTTTTTTTCAAAACATGAGGGAACATAGGCAGGACTATGATTTTACCCGTGTATAAAACTCCTAGTGTGGAAACTCCCTCCGCTGATACAAACTGGAACCTCATTTATAATTTCCAGTCTTAAAGAAATGACTGAGGTATTAAAAAGTTGATTGGTCACTAGTATGAGTGAGAGATAGGCCTTGAACCTAGATTTTCCTAACTCCAAGGCCAGGCCTCTATCACATTGCCTTGCCATCCACGGTTCTTGCCCTTCCAGAAACAAGAAGGAGTCTATGTTACCAAGAGGTTATGGGGAAATAATTTTTCATATACAGCTTCCCACTAAAGATTCATTCTGATCAGAATCAAGGACTCCTCAAAAACTCCTCAAAATTCCAGAATCTTACCATGTGGTCCTCCAGGGGACCCACAACCTACATGTTCAAGGAATATTTTCCAAGATTATTTTCCATTACTTTACTATTTATTTCTGTTCTAATTAAATATATTGCCATTTCTTACCTGGGCCTTTTAGCACAGTTACCAACTGAATTTTTAGAGCTGAGTTAACTTCAAAAATTAAGTTCAGATGTTTTCTAATTGAATGTGGGGGAAGAGAGTGGTGATTTGTCATGTGATTTCCTTGAAAACTAAACTGAAGTCTAAGTTGGTTGTGTCATGAAGTACATTAGCAAGATCTGTCACTGTCAGGAACTGTTTTAATTCAAATACAGTAAATATTTATATGGTAAATTATATCGTAGGTATCTGGATATTGCACTAATATTTACTATAATTTTGGTCTGCTTGTAGGGACATGGCATGTGATAGAAATGTAACCCTGTTCACACCCACACCTGGAACAGTTTTCCCAAGGGATAGCCCTATGGTCTGCACTGTGTAGATATGAGAGAGACGTGACCTCCGACAGACTTAGAAAACATGGTGCTTGCTGATGCCTCCCTACATATAGAACTTACCTTACTCATTGAGAAAGGACCTGGAGAGAGACAGCTCAAGAGAAAAGTCATTTATTAACCTTTGAATGGCGGATTAAAGACTGGCATCACAAACATGTCAGGAAGCTGGCCTGAATCACATCCCTGGACTTCTGTCTCCTAAAGGCCCTGGAGGATGTGACCCAGTCCCTCACCCAATCCTAACAGGTCATTCCTCCCATACCTGGGAAAGTTTTTTATAGCTAATAATAGCTAGCATTTACATAGTGACACGGTTTGCATAGAACTTTATAAATATTATCTCACTTTATCCTCAGAACACTGGGAATAGGTGCTATTATTATCCCCATTTTACAGTTAAGGAAACTGAGACAGACAGAGCTTAAGTGACTTGCTTAGGGTCATACAGCTAGTAAGTGTCTGAGGTAGGATTTGAATTCAAGTTTTCCAACTCCCATCCAGTAGCCTATCCACTGTGCCACCCAGATGCCACATTCATGGCTACTGGACAATCAAAATGTGTTTTCACCTCAAAAATGCATCAGGACTTAATAGCAGGACACTTACCTTAAGTGGAATACCATGATTTAATTGATTTACTCAACAGACAAAACACACACACGCGCACACACACACACACACACACACACACAATTGCATTTAAAGTGAGAGGCCTTAGGTTCATAACCTAATCTTGCCTGGAGTAAGTCACTCCCTCTCTCTGAGGCTCGACTTCCTCAATTGAAACTGAGGGGTTGATGGGGCAGCTAGATGGCATAGTGGATAGAGCACTGGTCCTGAAGTCAGGAGGACCTGAGTTCAAATCTGACCTCAGACCAAAGACTTGACACTTACTAGCTATGTGACCCTGGGCAAGTCGCTTAACCCCAATTGCCAAAAAAAAAAAATTACTAGGGGCAGCTAGATGGCACAGTAGATAGAACACTGACCCTGAAGTCAGGAAGACCTGAATTCAAATCTGACCTCAGACCAAACACACTTACTAGCTGTGTGACCCTGGGCAAGTCGCTTAACCCCAATTGCGAAAGAAAGAAAGAAAGAAAGAAAGAAAGAAAGAAAGAAAGAAAGAAAGAAAGAAAGAAAGAAAGAAAGAAAGAAAGAAAGAAAGAAAGAAAGAAAGAAAGAAAGAAAGAAAGAAAGAAAGAAAGAAAGAGGTTGAACAATGGTCCTTTCCAACTCTAGATCCCATGATTATCCGTGTCCAAAAATTATCTATATGTGATGAATGTAAATACTGTACCTAGCCCTGTGTTCTGTTTGTGGTTATTATTTTATCCCCTAGAAACTCAAAAGAACAAATGTCTCCCTACTTCATAAAATATCCCAAGCATAATTAAATCTTCAAAATCCCAGTGTTTGCAATCCAATTTATGAAACTCTAGCTCCGTCTGGCCACGTATTTTTCCGTCATTTCAACTGATGCTGTTTTTTATCTTCATTGAGACTTCTTAAGAGTAGGCTTCCATTGTGAAGATGCTAATGGACCACTGCAGTCTGCATCCAATCAGTCAGTCACCATACTCGAGTTCCTAAGATGGAACATCACTGAGCCATTGATGAGAGCTGGAGGGAGGGAAAAAAATCATCATTTTCCATATAAACTATGTGATGTTTTAGTCATTTCAGTGTGGTGACAGGTCAGTCAAGCTGTAATTGGCTTTAATTAGCACTCCCACAAGCTGTCATATTCCTTACCTGCAGGGGAATGGTACTCCAATGACCCGGGGGGCGGGGAGGCACGCCAAAAAGCCAATCTTATGTTTTCTGTTTTAAAATACCAGAGAAACCACTTGCATCTTGATTTTTGTAATTAAATGTCCACTGACCTGTACAACTGGGGTTAAATATTTTGGTTCTAATGTTTCTTAGAAAGTAAAGTGTTGGTCTGTTTAGCAGTGAAAAATGAACTCAATTCTACTCTTTGTAAAAGGAAACAGTCTCCCTTTCTGTAGCCCACACATATGTTCGTATTTTGTAGCCCACACATATAATCTTTTTTCCTAATACCATGGTTGATACTCAAGGCCTGCGAGGCTCAGCGACAGTGCCTTGACTAAGGTTCTTTCAGGTGATTGCTCAGGTCCTTCATCTGGGAGAGAGGGATTTTCTGAAACTATTCTCAGAAAGGTTTGGAATCACTGAGGTGAATATTGTCCACGGCTCCCTGGCCTCACGCTTTGTCTCACTCATGCAGTGAAGACACCCAACCCTCTGACAAGGCTTCCAAAGGCCCTTAATGTGGCCTTTATCGGGTGCCCCTAGGTCCACAACATTCAAGGGATAATCATCTTCCTCAAATAACAACACATGTGTCCATATTTCTACTGAATCTCTCCTGCTCAAGCCCAGATCAGTTACTTGTTGAGAGACAGACAGACAGAGACAGATGCTTCCACTCATGGCTTTGGGATTAAAGACTAGCACTAGAAACGGTCTTTGCCTAGTGTCAGCTTCCCATTCTGTCTCACTGCAGTGCTGACTTGAAAGCATTGGTCCTCAGTTCCAGTTTAACCTAGGTCTCATCCTAGGTCTCACCTAGGTTTCATCCTACTGCTTGCACAATACTTTAGAATAAGAGCTCCGGAGGCACAAGGTCAGGGTCGGAACTAAGAAATGTTGTGGAGAACATCTTCATTTTCCAGAACAGAAACTGGCAAACAGCAAGTGAGAGGGCCACGTCCCAGTTTCCATTTTCTTTCTTGGCTTTCTCCTTGACCCTGCCACCCAGACCAGAGCCTGTGTCTCATCCTTCCTCCCCTTTCATGTGACCCCTGGGTTGATACCACCCGTTTTCAGAACTAGCTCATTGGCTTCTAAGGAGTATAGAGATGTGTTGTCCTCTGCTTGGTAGTTATCGAGTACACACACACACACACACACACACACACACACACACACACAAATACGCATGCTTCTTATATTTCCATTCCTTGGGTACCTCTAAATACCATATCTCTTCAGTTTCACCCCTGCAGCTGAGGATTTTTATAGGGTTGTGTGAAGATGACATGTGCAAAACATGTTATATGTTGTAGCAACAAAGAATGCTATAGATATTTTATCATCATCATCATCATCATTAGTATTATTATTATCATTATTATTCAGAAAGTAACCTTGAAATATCGGGCTGCAAAGAAACTAGGCACTTCTGGCCAATACTACCTTCTATTGTCTTAAAAGTTTCCTCTACTTGAGGAGGGATGGATGGTCAGAATGTTGAAATACTGATCAGTCTGCTGCTTGCAATCTACTTTTAGTAAACAAGCATTTATTAAGTACTTGCTACATGTCAGGCGCTGTGCTAACACTGGAGGATAGCAAGAAAGTAAAATAAATAAATAAATGAAAATAAAAACCAGTTCCTGCCCTCAAGGAATTTGCAGCCCAAAGGGAGAAATAAGCTGTTACTAAATAGGCAGTACAAAATACATGCAGAGTAATAAAGGCAAAGTAACCTTAGAAAGACTCTGGGTGGGGGGAAGAGAACCAAAAACAGAATCCTGGCAAAATATGACTTTGAATTGAGTCTTGAAGGAAGGAATTCTAAGAGGCAGAGGTGAGGAAAGAGTATTGTAAGCATGGGAGACAGTCAGGGTAAAGGTGCAGAAATAGGAGATAGGATGTCATGTGGGATAGCAATGACCAACAGAGCTGACACATATATGAAAAACCGGAAAGAGAAAACACAGAGCCGGGTTGTGAAGAGCTTTGAATGCCTAACGAAGGTCTTTAAAGTTGATCCTGGAGATAAGAGGGAGCCACCAGCTTATTGAGCGGAAGGGAAGGGTGACGTGGTAAGACTTGTGTTTCTAGAAATCACTTTGGCAGCTGTGGAGAGGACAGGCTTGAGGGAGACTAAATAGGAAGCTTTCTCCAATAGTGCAAACATGAGGTGATGAGGGACTGAATTAGTTTGATGGCTATGGGAATAGAGAGCAAGCATTTTGAAAAGAGCGGAATTTGTCCCAATGAAAGCAAAAATCCTGGAAACTGGGGGCTGGGAGTAGAGGTCAGTATCTGGGCACACCAGAGATTGCTATGCCAACCTTCCTGCTGATGCCCTTGATCTAAGTTAGAAACCTCAAATATACCACAGTAGAACACTAATACAAACAGTCCTCTTCAATACGGCCCAGAGGCCTAATCTTTCCAGAGCCTGTAATGGAATGTGCCTCAAGTTTTTCCTCATAAAATAATTTAAACATAATTGTTGCCTGGAATCCACACTTCAAGATAGAAAGACACACTATAGCTTCAGTCTTTCCCCATCACTGGGGCACATGACCAAGGGTATGAAACAAAGTGGCCCCTGGACTTGGACCTGTGGTTATAACTTCTTTCCCAATAGGATCTGTCCCATCCCATCTTATGCTATTACCAAGTGGTATGGAATTGACAGTAGGTATCAGATAAATGGACATAGACTGTGCTTTCATTCCAACTGGTGAAAGTGCATTAAAAATGGTCTTCTATTTTTGTTTAACTCATTTGTGTTCAAAGCCTTTTCTGCAGAAGCAGATTCAAACGCTGAAACTGCCGTGTTCAATTTTTTTAAAAATATTGTAATGTCTGATCTACTTACATGTGCTATCTAGTTATACTGCCATAAGACTTTAAAATTACTGCAGAAATGTTCTATTTTCAGGGTATTCTATTCGACATACAGCATGATGAGAACAGCATATTAATTATTGATCTTTTATCAGTATGTTTAGACCACAAGCTCATACTTATTTGCTATGTGACCAGTTTCTGCAAAATATTTTTGCATCATTATCATGTGTTATCAAGTCAATGAAGTTAGTTATTTTTGTGCCCTTCTTAGATGTTACATTTCTAAAAATTAGACTTCTGTTTTAGCAATTAAGAACTTTATAAAAAAATTTTTTACAGGGGGCAGCTAGGTGGCGCAGTGGATAGAGCACCAGCCCTGAAATCAGGAGGACCTGAGTTCAAATCCAGTCTCAGACCAAACATTTCATACTTACTAGCTGTGTGACCCTAGGCAAGTCACTTAACCCCAACTGCCTTAAAAAAAAATCTTTGTATTTTATTCAATTAGAATGTGTACAATGAAAGGTAAAACAAGGCTTTCGTTTTTTAGTTTTTTATTCCTCCCCCCAAAAAAACCATAATCAAAACCAAAAAAATCATGTTTTTGTAGTGTGCAATATATATGTAAATTTATATATATATATATATATGAAATACACACACATATATATGATATATATATATATATTTGATGTGGATAAGGTACTGCTACTTTTACACAACTATCAAGTAAAATATTACAAAAGATAATTCCTTCCCCAAAATTAATTATTTGGGTCTTATCTTTAAGAATTAATTTACTAGTATTTTATTTCATTAAATATTTGTGCTGGACTTAGGATTCATTCAAACTACATACACAGAACTAATGATAATTATAGCATTGTATCTATTGCTTGAAATAATAAAAATATGAACTTTTTTCCCTATTTTCTCCACCCTTATAAAAACGATTATTTCTTTCAACCATTAGAAAAGAGTTGAGCTGTTCTGAACAATAAACAGTTTTTAAAAATTCCCAGTCCTGGACCTGTGGGCTATAACTTCTTTCAGATCAATGATATGTGTTCAATGATCAAAGTCTGACTGGCTCCTACATTCCTTTAATAATATAATTCCCGGAACTGACTTTCTTCACCTCCCCCACCCCAAAGCAAAGCTTCCTTATTTCTTCAAGGGGATGTATTAGGGAAGGGGTTGGACTGAACAACAGGCCACAAACCAGCTGTCATGGTGAGAACTTGTTCACGGAGCTCTTCTTTGACCTCGTCTTCTTCAGCAGTGGTCTTGGATGGCTCCCACTAATAGCCCAGTTAGGAAGTCATTTGCCCAAATTCCACAGCCTTTAGCTACATTTTTTATCTGTTCCATTGGACTCATCTTCCCTGATCAACCTGACCAGTCATGAATAGCTTGGGGGCTCTTTCAGCTGCACCTGCAGCTATAGTAACCACAGCAGCAGTTTGTTACCTAAGGTCCCCCTAAGGACTTGGGCCAGCCTAACACAGTTCATGAGCTCTGTGATTACAGCAAATTAATCACCACTTTTAACATTACTCTCTCCAGCTTCCACACACAGCTGGAAACCTCACTATCCTCTGGGGACGTAGTTAGAAAGTTGGCATGAATTCAATTCAACAGCAACCCAACAAGTATTTATTAAGTACCTACTGTGTGCAAGGGACTGTGTGTGTCCTCTGTAATCTCTGCTCCTACTCACATGGTGCTGAACAAAGCTGGAGGAAATCACATAATTGAGCTGACGGGGCCCAGTACAAAAACTAGACATAAAAAACTCTGAGGGATCAAAGACAAAAAGGAAAAGATTTATATGCAAGAAAAATTCATAACAGTAGGGATTTTTGTTGTCATAGGAAAGAATTGGAGACAAGGGGAGTTTGCCTCATCACCCAGGGATTGGCTGAGCAAATTATGGTAAACGAATGTAATTGAATATTTTTTTCACCATAAGAAGTGACCAAAAGGATGAATTCAGAGGAACCAGT